GCTGTCAGGAAGACTTCACCTCGTGTGGGCAGCTCACTACTCCAGAGCAGAGGAGGGCAACACACCTAGCATCAAGTTCTTCCTGTTCCTGAGGCTGGTGGCAAGATTCGCCTTGACTGGGGAGCTCAGTTCTCCAAGGAAGAGAAGGGCAATGTGCCCAGTCTGAAGTCCTCTCTGGGCCTTGGACTGGTGGGAAGACTCACCATTTGCTCTTTAGCACTTTGGAGAGGTCCTTGACAGCAGATGCAACAGTTCTTTTGATTTCTTGACTACTGCAACCATGAGTGTTGATTCTGGATCAAAATGAAACTGTGGACAATTTCAATCTTTTCTCCATCTATCATGATAGTGGCTATTGGTCCAGCAGTGATTTTTGTTTTCTTGAGGGTGAGGTGTAATAATCCATAATGAAGGTTATAGTCTTTGATCTTCTGCATCAAGTGTTTCAAAGTAAGCAAGGTTTTGCCATTTGCATAACATAGTTGTTGAGTAATCTTTATGGCACATAGTAGACCATGATTTTTGGACTCTAAATGGCCAAGGAGGTAAAGAAATTAGACGCTGGAGCTACTTCTTCCCTGATGAATTACTGGTTTATGACATTTCTAAATATCGCTGGTGCGAAAACACTGGAAGAGCACACAAAAGTAATAATACCATCTAAGTAATGTTACCTAATAATATGGTACTTAAAATGTTTTCCGTTTCCTTAAAAGTTGATAATATGAAAATAATTTTGTAGTAAAATTTGGGTAATAAGTACAAATGCTGATTATTTGGTATTTGACAGTATTTGGAGCTCCCTGATTAAAACAAGCTTGGGAGCAGGAGTGGCATCCACTTCCATAATAGCTTGCCTCCGGAAACCCTGTGAACCTGGAGAGAGGATGAAAGTTATACAGGAGGTGTCCAAGTCTTTCGTTCATAGAGTCGCGAACGACTTGACAGCACTTAACAACAAATGGCCAATAGCAGTTCATTTTGCCTCATTAATGCCCAAGAAACGGACCTCTGGTAAGGAGTTGCGCTGCTAACTCCAAGGCATGTTGTTCGAATCCAACAGCTGTTCTGTGAGAGTAAGATGGGTGGCCTCTTCAGTGTCATGTACTGCCTCTGAAAACCTGTGGGACGGTCAGCTATGGACTGGTCCAATGTGATGGTTTATAACAACAATGCCCAGGACACCCATCATTGTGTTCCATTTCACTATTGACAATTTGCAATTTCCCAAAATTCATACTTAGTACACTGTATGTTCTTGTTCTTTAAAGGATGTTTGCCATTGTTTCTCCTCATTGTGGGTCTTGTCACATCAACAAAAGGCCTTCATTAGCTGAAAACTTGACTCCACCCATGCATGAAGGTGGGCTTGATTCGAGGAGGGAGCTCTATATACTGTTCACCCAAAGTTCAGCCTCTACAGTGGTTCTGACCCACCAGTGGCTCCACGGGAGAAAGATGGGGAATCTCATCCAGCTGCAGAAACCTGCTGGAGGGTCAGGTATCAGTAGGCTCCAACTCAGTGGCAAAGACTGAAAGACTAACTCCTTTGAGGAAGCCTCTCTTCTCCAGCCACATTCCACGTGCCTCCCGACCTGAAGGTTTCTCCTGGTACCCTTTGATCAGTGTTCTATTGCTATTCACAGGGTGCCATGAGTCTGTTAGTTCAGAAATGGATGACCAGCCCTGCTTCCTAGTGTGTCTTATTCTGGATTCTCTTTCTCAGTCCACCCAGGGCGACCCTGCCAATCATTTGAAGTATTAGTGGCATAGCTTCTAGCATCAAAGCAACATGAAAGCCATCACAGTGTGGCAAAGTAGCACACAAATATGAGTCAGTACTCACTGGCATGTTTTGTTGCTGAGGTCACTGAAGCATCGTGGACTCGTAGTCCTGTGAGGTGAGAGCAGCACAGTCCACTGCTTTCCCAAGCTGCCGTCTTTATGGAAGCAGCTTCAAGGGCTTTCTCCTGCGGAGCTGCTGAGGACAGGGGAGAATGAACTGCCACCCACCGTTCAGCTAGCCGCTGGGACATGAAGGTCTGTGGCAGCAGGACTCCTTAAAGCCACATTTACGTACCACCACATGGATGTTTTTCATGGTCTTTGATGAACGGTGTGATGAGTGTTTTTCTAGCACTCTTCCCACTCGGTCATTAAAATCACATCTAGCTACCTTGTTTGATGCAAAGTCGTGTTTAGAAATGGAAAGTCTAGTTACACAGTAAAATACTTATGTGAGTACATTACTCTGCAATTTTTCATTTACGAAGTGACAATCTGGTGGAACATTTTGGAATAGTAATTTACAGGAAGAGTAGCAGACTTTACACTTTACACATCAATTGGTGAATAAGTGTGATTCTTACTTTGAAAGGCGATTTGGACATTTCTCCATTCTGTAAGGATGTATTTTAAACATCTCTTTTTTTAATTTTTGTATTTTCGGTGATTTATTCATTGCAAATATCTTTTTTTAAAGACACAACTTTATACATGAATCTCAGCTGATGGGCTGCATAGAAATCAGATTGACTATATCTGTGGAAGAAATCATTGGGGAAGCTCAGTATCAGTAGTCAAAACTAGGTCAGGAATTGCCCACCTAAGCCCTCCTCAAATTCCTGATCAATAAAATTAAAACAAAGTAAAACAAACCCAAGGGCAGACTGTGGTTCAGATCATCAATTATTCATATGGAAGTTCAAACTGAAGCTGAAGAAAATGAAAAGAAGTCCATAGGAACCAAAATATGATTTTGAACCTATTCCATCTGAATTTCAGGATTATTTTAGAAACAAGATTGAGGCACTGAACACCAATGAAAATAGCCTATGTACTTAGAATTTTATAGCAACAATGGCCAAGCCAAAAGGTACAAAGATTATTACAAAACAGAGTTTAGGAGAGAAATTATGAAGCAATGAAAAAAAAAAATAGTTCAAAGATATGAACTCATAATCCATAAAATGACGCTGTTGTTGCTGTTGATGGCCTTCGGGCCGAGCACGACGCAGCAACCCTATGAACAAAAGGCCGGAAGCACCTTTATAAATATCGCCATTCATCAAAGTTCACAGAGTTTCCAGAGGCATGTGATTGAGGAAGTGGATGCCACTCCTGCTTCCAAAGAAACATCTTTTCTTACAGTCTATTACCATTCTAGATCGCTGTGCTCAGATCTGAGTGGGTCCCTAGATCCAAGGGCTTCTCATCTGTGAATTCGGCCAAAAGCAAATAAAAAATGTAGGGGTGAGAGAGCAGTTAGGGGCCAGAGTCATCCTTCAAAGTAAGGTGAAGCTTACAGTGCTAGTTCTATTAGCACTTACCTTGTATTAGACATTACAAGTGACAAAGACTAAGAAGCTGAGCATAGGTCTGATGGAAATATTCCATCATTTTAAAGAAAGGACTGGAACATCTGGAGATTTTAGTATTGGGGGTGGGGTTCAAGAACCAATGTTTTGGACACACAAGTTCACCAGTAAGGAACCATGGCGGGCCCAACATTCATGGTGAAATTGTACTCCTGACTATTCCGCAGGACCTCCACGTTCGTCCTCACCATCGCCGTGGGTGCCCTGTTCTTCGAGCGGGCGTTCGATCAGGGAGCGGATATGATCTACGAGCACATCAACGAAGGGAAGCTGTGGAAACACATCAAGCACAAGTACCAGACCCAAGAGTAGTTCCCCAGCAGTCTCCATCCAGGCAAGAAGGACCAGGTTCACCCACTGGCTCTTGTCCAAAGTCAGGGCCTCAGCTTGAAGATGATGCTTCCGTTATTCTTCATGGACCACCTTTACCTGCCGGCAAGAAATGGCTTCCCTAACGGACTCTAACTTCTGCTGGTTTTGACATACGTCTCGTCAGAATCATCAGCAAATAAATGTCAATTGTCCTTGACAAAAAAAAAAAAGAACCAATGTTTTGCAGATACCAAGGGACAACTGTGTATGAAATATCCTCTTTCTTTAATTTCCTCTCCATAAAAATACTGGAGTTAACATTACACACATTGAAGCATTTATTAACAGCTTGACCCATTCCTGAATGTTGACCGGAAAAGAAATGAGATGCTATCTGTATGTGACAGTTAGGTATGTCTGGAACGCTCAGTTAAGGTATGGACTTCCAGACTGAATCTGTAAAAGCCCCGCTTTACTGAACCTGTTCTGAGAAATACAGAGCTATAGGAGGGCTTCAGAGGAAAAGCTTAACTGTTAACAAAGATGTCTCATTAACAAAGCAGTCAATTCCCTTTATTTTTAAAATTTTATGTACACATATGAATGATCTGTATAATGTACATTCAATATAGAAAGCTTTAGATTTGATAATAATGTATAGAACATTTCACAATTACACTAATCTCTTACATAACATCTTGACATTGCTTTTTAATTATTTTTTTTTT